ACACTCACGTGTACATATACATTCACACACATATAAATATACCAATATTATTATTTTGTGTAATTTGTCTCATATTTTTAGTTTAAAATATTAACACTGCAAAATGTCATATCTTCAAAAGCATGTTTGTAATGTGTACACTGCTTTAAATATTATAAGGTTAGCTTTTTGCAGCATTATTACCTCTTGGATTTCAATAACATGGCTTCAATTTTTTTGATGAGAATTTTATGTCCATAATATGTTTTCTGATACTTTTTTTAGAAATACCATATGATTGTAGTGAAGCATATGATATACTTACAAGCTCCATGTAGGATACTGATACCATTAAACATGAGAGACATATGTAGGTTTGTAGCTTTGGTGGATGAACAAATTCATTTAATTTTTTTTGTCTATAAAAAATGTGTTTTATTGAAAAATTTTAAAGAAAGCTAAGTCTTCAAATAATTTAATGATAGATTATGTAATAGATACTTTATAGAAGAACAACTTCAACAGCAACAAATTTTTTCTAGGTGGACTTAAATCATATTTATGGTGAAACTCTGGATAGACAACATAAACTGCGCCTTTTCAAGGATGGGAAAATGAAATATCAGGTATGTTTCATTTTAACACGAAGAATTAGTTGTTCCTCACCACGTATACCTTTATTTTAAAATTCCTAATGATAAAAACTTGTTCCTTAACTCTTTTTTATTAATGCTTATTTATTACTATTATTTTTTAGATAATTGATGGAGAGGTATACCCTCCCACAGTCAAAGATACTCAGGTAGAGATGATCTATCCCCCTAACGTCCCTGAACACCTGCGGTTTGCTGTGGGACAGGAGGTCTTTGGTCTGGTGCCTGGTCTCATGATGTATGCCACCATCTGGCTGCGGGAACACAACAGAGTGTGTGATGTGCTTAAACGGGAGCATCCAGAATGGGACGATGAAAGGTTGTTCCAGACAAGCAGGCTAATACTGATAGGTATGCAAGATGAGAAAATAATTTAAATAAAACCCCCTTCCCCAGAGAAGATGAATTTGTTATCTTTTCTACGTTTTGAGTAATTTTGAGGGAATGTAGGGAATGAAAAATCATATACTCCATATTAATTCAATCTGGAGCATGATTGGTAATATTGTTTTAATATTAACAAGGAAAACAACAGAAGTGAAGGAATAGCAATTAGCAAAATTGCATTTCAATTTCTTGAAAGTTTGTCATCAGAAAAAATTAACGTTTCTGATACTTTTATTTTGTACAAATAGGAGAGACCATTAAGATAGTGATTGAAGACTATGTACAGCATTTGAGTGG